ACTATTGTATCCACAGGGATTTCAAATTTACTTCTTTGAGTTTTTTGGTAAGTATTTGTTTTGTTTTGCTTTGTTTTTCAAAACAGGATCTCACTATGTAGCTAGATCTGGCTTTCCTAGAACTCACTACACAGACCAAACTGGCCTTGAAATCAAAGAGGTCCACCAGCTTCTGTCTCCCAAGTTCTGGGACTAAAGGCATATGCTACTACACCCGGACTATTTGATTTCTTAATGAAGCAGATTTGGAGTTCACTGAAGGATGTTTCTAACAAACATTTTAAGCACTGGAGTGTACTGTTATTTCATTCGTATTTTAATAAGTAAAGCTTGCCTGAAGATCAGAGAGTAAAACAGCCCTCCCAAATCAGCCTTACTGGCCAGGCAGTGGTGACACACACCTTTGATCCCAGCCTTAGAGCGGAACAGAAGATGGGAGGAGACAGCTCTCACACACACACAGTCTCATTCTGAGGATTCAGGAAATAGGATCACCATTTTTGGACTGAGATAAAGGTAAGAGCCAGGAGCTGACCTCCAGGTTGAACCCCATTTCTGTCTCTGGTTTGTATGAACCGCATTACACTGCGGTTAAGAGAAAGAGGCACTCGGGAAGCAGAGATCATGCTTCTCTAAGAGTCGCCCTTCCCTGTCTTTACAACTGTCAAATTGTGGTGAATTCTGAAGTTATGATCTCCAAATGGCAGCCTACATGGAATCATTAAAAGAAAAAAATTAGAGTATATGTCGTTTATGATAAAAACCAATCTGTGGAAAATCTTTAAGAGACCCAGACAACATAAGCAAATGCAAGAATGCACATCACACATATGTGAGAAACATAATAAAACCTGCCACTCTGTAAACTAGCATATGTCAATCAACTTTAAAAGCCAGACAACAATGAAGAAAAAACTTCGCTTAAACTGAGAATGCAGTATCCAGGGAGGCACAGAACATGTTCCTAATGATATCTTCCTAGCATTGAAAGCGGATTGACCTTGTTATTTTACAAACTGAAAAACATATCCTTTAATCCAAAACAGCAGTGAATGTTCCCATTAAAATGGCTTAGTTCATTTTGAACCCTAACCTGTATTATGAATCCTACCCTTACCAAAGCAATGGCAGAGTGAATACTTACTCCCACCATCAACAGTCAATTTATAAGCACACAAACACCACAGTATAGTTATAATCACTTATTTTTCTAGCAGACCTATGAGCAAGTGAGATTATTTTCTACTGAAGATGAGTGATTGCAATTTAGAAAAGCATGTAACTTGAAAAAGGTAACATAGGAGATTAAGATTTGAGCAAACCAGGTGTGGTGGCGCACACCTTTAATCCCAGTATCTGTGAGGCAGAAGCAGGCAGATGTCTGAGTTTGAGGCCAGCCTGGTCTATAAAGTGAAATCCAAGACAGCTAAGGCCACAAAGAGAAACCCTGTCTTGGAAAGAAAGAAAAGATTTGAACAAGGCGTTTTCAGTGCAAGGTACCCCAAACCCCATGTGGAATGGTGGACTCACTGCATCTGATCCATGTCTGCTTACCTTAGGTACTTCCAAGCTATCACTAAGAGAAGGAAAAGGAAAACAGCACCTGATGTATAAAAAGCACTCCTGTGGGGGCTGGAGAGATGGCTCAGTGGTTAAGAGCACTGGCTGCTCTTCCAGAGGTCCTGAGTTCAATTCCCAGCAACCACATGGTGGCTCACAACCATCTGTAATGAGATCTGGCGCCCTCCTCTGGCGTGCGGGCATACATGGAGGCAGAATGTTGTATACATAATAAATAAATCTTTAAAAAAAAAAAAAAGCACTCCTGTGCCTTGTTAAGATGATGTTTTCATATGGATTAAATCCTTGAAAACACACTTACAGAAGACAGGGATTATGAAGAGAAGGTTCTGATGTGGGACTCTCCTCTGTATGCTGTGATTACTGTTAATGAGTAAAGAAACTGCTTTGGACCTATAGCAGGGAAGACCTTAGCTAGGCAAGGAAAACTAAAGTAAATGCTGGGAGAAGGAAGGTAGAGTCAGAGAGAAGCCATGGAGCCCAGCTGGAACTTTACCCAGTAAGCCACAACCTTGTGGTGTAGGAGGTCTTTCTGTCTATATATTGCTTTCATTGGTTAATGAATAAAGAAACTGCGTTGGCCTGTTGATAGGGCAGAACTTAGGTAGGCAGGGAAGACAGAACCGAATGCTGGAAGAAGGAAAGAGTCAGAGAGATACCATGGATCTGCCACCAGAGTGGGACATGCTACAAAAACTTAGCCAGTAAGCCGCTGCCATGTGGCAATAATAGAAATGGGTTAAACTAAGATGTAAGAGTTAGCTAATAAGAAGCTAGAGCTAATGGGCCAAGCAGTGTTTTAATAATACAGTTTCTGTGTGATTATTTTGGGTCTGAGCTGCTGAGCAGCCATAACAACCACTGCAGAGCAGCGGTTCCCACTTCAACACTGCAGAGTAATAGTTCCCACTTCAACACTGCAGAGCAGCGGTTCTCACTTCAACACTGCAGAGCAGCGGTTCCCACTTCAACACTGCAGAGCAGCGGTTCCCACTTCAACACCGCAGAGCAGCGGTTCCCAACCTCAACACTACAGAGCAGCGGTTCCCAACCTCAACAATGCAGAGCACTGGTTCCCACTTCAACACTGCAGAGCAGCGGTTCCCACTTCAACAATGCAGAGCAGCGGTTCCCACTTCAACAATGCAGAGCAGCGGTTCCCAGTTCAACACTGCAGAGCAGCGGTTCTCACTTCAACACTGCAGAGCAGCGGTTCTCACTTCAACACTGCAGAGCAGCGGTTCCCACTTCAACACTGCAGAGCAGCGGTTCCCACTTCAACACTGCAGAGCAGCGGTTCCCACTTCAACACTGCAGAGCAGCGGTTCCCACTTCAACACTGCAGAGCAGCGGTTCCCACTTCAACACTGCAGAGCAGCGGTTCCCACTTCAACACTGCAGAGCAGCGGTTCCCACTTCAACACTGCAGAGCAGCGGTTCCCACTTCAACACTGCAGAGCAGCGGTTCCCACTTCAACACTGCAGAGCAGCGGTTCCCACTTCAACACTGCAGAGCAGCGGTTCCCACTTCAACACTGCAGAGCAGCGGTTCCCACTTCAACACTGCAGAGCAGCGGTTCCCACTTCAACACTGCAAAACAATGGTTCCCACTTCAACACTGCAGAGCACTGGTTCCCACTTCAACACTGCAGAGCACTGGTTCCCACTTCAACACTGCAGAGCAGTGGTTCTCACTTCAACACTGCAGAGCAGAGGTTCCCACTTCAACACTGCAGAGCAGTGGTTCTCACTTCAACACTGCAGAGCAGCGGTTCCCACTTCAACACTGCAGAGCAGCGGTTCCCACTTCAACACTGCAGAGCAGTGGTTCTCACTTCAACACTGCAGAGCAGCGGTTCCCACTTCAACACTGCAGAGCAGCGGTTCCCACTTCAACACTGCAGAGCAGCGGTTCCCACTTCAACACTGCAGAGCAGCGGTTCCCACTTCAACACTGCAGAGCAGCGGTTCCCACTTCAACACTGCAGAGCAGCGGTTCCCACTTCAACACTGCAGAGCAGCGGTTCCCACTTCAACACTGCAGAGCAGCGGTTCCCACTTCAACACTGCAGAGCAGCGGTTCCCACTTCAACACTGCAGAGCAGCGGTTCCCACTTCAACACTGCAGAGCAGCGGTTCCCACTTCAACACTGCAGAGCAGCGGTTCCCACTTCAACACTGCAAAACAATGGTTCCCACTTCAACACTGCAGAGCAGTGGTTCTCACTTCAACACTGCAGAGCACTGGTTCCCACTTCAACACTGCAGAGCAGTGGTTCTCACTTCAACACTGCAGAGCAGCGGTTCCCACTTCAACACTGCAGAGCAGCGGTTCCCACTTCAACACTGCAGAGCAGCGGTTCCCACTTCAACACTGCAGAGCAGCGGTTCCCACTTCAACACTGCAGAGCAGCGGTTCCCACTTCAACACTGCAGAGCAGCGGTTCCCACTTCAACACTGCAGAGCAGCGGTTCCCACTTCAACACTGCAGAGCAGCGGTTCCCACTTCAACACTGCAGAGCAGCGGTTCCCACTTCAACACTGCAGAGCAGCGGTTCCCACTTCAACACTGCAGAGCAGCGGTTCCCACTTCAACACTGCAGAGCAGCGGTTCCCACTTCAACACTGCAGAGCAGCGGTTCCCACTTCAACACTGCAGAGCAGCGGTTCCCACTTCAACACTGCAGAGCAGCGGTTCCCACTTCAACACTGCAAAACAATGGTTCCCACTTCAACACTGCAGAGCACTGGTTCCCACTTCAACACTGCAGAGCACTGGTTCCCACTTCAACACTGCAGAGCAGTGGTTCTCACTTCAACACTGCAGAGCAGAGGTTCCCACTTCAACACTGCAGAGCAGTGGTTCTCACTTCAACACTGCAGAGCAGCGGTTCCCACTTCAACACTGCAGAGCAGCGGTTCCCACTTCAACACTGCAGAACAGCGGTTCCCACTTCAACACTGCAAAACAATGGTTCCCACTTCAACACTGCAGAGCAGTGGTTCCCACTTCAACACTGCAGAGCAGCGGTTCCCACTTCAACACTGCAGAGCAGCGGTTCCCACTTCAACACTGCAGAACAATGGTTCCCACTTCAACACTGCAGAGCAGTGATTCCCAACCTTCCCAATGCAGCCGTCCTTTAATAAAGTCCCTTGTGTTATGGTGATCCCAACCACAAAGTTATTTCATTGCTACTTTATAACTATAATTTTGCTACTGTTATGAATCATAATGTAAGTATGTGACATACAGGATATCTGATGTGTGACCCCTAAAGGGGTGGCAACCTACAGGTTGAGAACTGCTGCCTTAAAATATCGATTTGTACCAATAAGTGGAAATTAGCAGAGTGTAGAGGACTTTAAATAATCAACTTAAGCCAAAGCAAGGCAGAGAAAGCTTTACTCTCTTACGCGGATCCAGAAGTTAAGCTCGGATTCTCCAGGGGTCCGTGGTTCTTTGTTCATCAGACAACATAAGCACCATATTAGAAATTTTTGGCTTTCATCTGCAGAAAATAAAACTAAAATGAGTATATTTTATCAAAAAGGAAAAACCTTAAGAACATGCTTAGGAAAACCTCAAAGCACCAAGCTCGGCTTTGGCTTTTCTTTTTGTGGGTTCAGCTCACTGTCCAGCTCTTGTGTGGTCAACCCTTTCTGAGACAGCAGCAGTTTTTAGGGCCAAGTAAGAACGATGAGAAGTGCTGAATGTGCTGGGCGCTTCAAGATGTTTCTAATTTCACGTTTGAAACATCAGTAATGTCGACCTCTTTAAAGCAAAATAACTGCTATCTGTTTCTGTTTCTGTGGCCAAACCTGTTCAGGGTAAAGACTTATAGCACAACTAGTGAACAAAAATTAAAGCTGTAATCGGAAGTTGTTAGCACACAAGCTACACAGAGCAATGCAGACCTTGTGATGGAGAGAGGGGAGGGAGACAGACCCAGCCCCTGCAGTGGTCTTAGACAGGCAGAGCTCACCTTCCAGCTTCCTACAGCCTGGTGCCTCCAATGGCTTTGCTATCAAAGGCACAAGGACAGGACAAACTACAGGAAAGCTCCTCTATGTTCACAGGGAGCACCTATCCCTTCATAAGTTTTAGATCTATTTTTCCTCCAGTGACAATCATTGAGTTTACACTTTCTCAGGGTCATTCTGAGACACTCATTTTCCCCTATGAGCATAAATAAGGCACCAGGAGGTAGGTATAGTCTCGCCTGACACACATTAATTTCCAGACTTGTAACTTTCAAAAAACTCTCCAGGCCGAACTGATACCTCTGAGTGAGATGTGACTGCTGCACTTGACCTGGTGTAAATACTAATTCACGAGTGACAGACATTCCAATAATATGCTTCACTATGGAGAAAGGAGGATGTACTGGGGGGCAATTTCAAAAAGGGAAGCAAGAAAATGGTAGTTTATGGAGCTTAAACTTCAAAGAATAATAAGAGGGGTGGTACCACCAGGATGTGGAGTAATCCTACACACAAGTTCGCGTGTCTGTTTTCCTCGCGTGAGTAAGGAGGGAGATCCAGGACGAAGAGACGCACTGTATACACCTCTGGCTGATGAGCACAAGGCCCACTCTGCTTGGCTAGCTCGCAGACATAAATAAGCCCCAGAGGCACCACGGTTGGGACTGGGATTTCCATAGGAAACTGCTAAGGATCCACCGGGACTCACTGGCAGATCTGGAAAGTAAATACAGCACTGGCTCATGAGCTTTCCACCTTAGATCAACAACCTGACTGAGGGAAGAGGAAGAAAACTACAGGGGGGGCTCTTCATCTGCCTTTTCCTAGCACCCCACAAAGGTGGGGATGGAACGAGTGAGACTAAATGTGCACCTCAAGCACAAGTGTGTGCTCAAAGATCCAAGGAAGTGCCCCCCACCTAGTTCACAGCTCTCACATGACCTATGATAGGTTAGATTAGTCTTTTACTTAAAAAAAAAAAAGATGAAAAAATTACATCTGCTAATAATGTAGTCAATCTAAGGCAGAAGACAAAGGGCTCATCTACAGGAGCTTCAGCAAACTCTACCAGGCTCGAGGATGACAATGCTCCCAGGCCCAGAGAGGGAAGAAGACACTGGGAAACCACAGGCAAATGAAGAGAGACCAGCCCAGCCTCAGCACAGTTGCAGGAGGGCCAAGAGGCAGAGGGAACGCAATGCACACAGGCCCACACTGGCGTTCAGACAGCTGGCGACAGTACCTCTGCAATGGCATGTTATACTTGAGGAAGATGAAACTGGAAACAAGGCTGGAGAGGTGAAGTCATACTACACCTAAAGCATTCCCAAATTCTCTCAACCTTGGCTAAAACTACATCACTCTTAAATAATGGCAAGGCTATAGCAGGACTCCAACTCTGAACCATGGCCTCACAACATGAGCAATACATGAGCTAACATGGACCTGTGAAACAATTAACTAGGTATCATTAGCATCAAGTTTATTTGTGGAGAATTTAAAATGAGATGATAAAAGTGACTACAGTCATTTTAAATTTAAACACTGGTGTTTAAACCTCTACTGTAAGAATCCTTGCTATGGGGCTGGAGAGATGGCTCAGTGGTTAAGAGCATTGCCTGCTCTTCCAAAGGTCCTGAGTTCAATTCCCGGCAACCACATGGTGGCTCACAACCATCTGTAAATGAGGTCTGGTACCCTCTTCTGGCTTGCAGACATATACACAGACAGAATATTGTATACATAATAAATAAATAATTATTTTTAAAAAAAAGAATCCTTGCTATGCTACAGTACACAGGCATTAGCCTATGTGCACACGCATGCCTGTTTGCCTGTAGCCCACAGAAGCACAGGAAGATGCATACACATGGTGAGCTGCCCCACAGAAACATGAAAGAGGTTACAATTTATATCCCTGTGCTTTGTGAGAAGCAGAGAGAGTAAAACTGTCATCAGGTGTTTGTGTGTTGAGGCTCTTACCATATGCTAAGATGAGAGGATTCCAACAAGTTTTTGCCAACAGCTGACCAATTTTGGGGAACCTTTCCAGGATTGCCCTAGAATCCTATAAAAACAACAACCAATGTTTTGATAGTTAAAACACACTATGCAAATCAACTGAGCAACACAATTTCTCAAGGGAGCCCGAGTGCTCCTGTACATCCTATTCTAGAAAATGCACAGAAAGAGATTAGAGAAAAGCTCTCTGTAAGAAATTCAAAGTTTATCTTGTACTTCATCCTTAAAAACTGAGTATGATATAATCAGGTCATTTCAATTTTGCAAGAACATTTATTGCATTTTGCTCAAGCAATAATCAGAAAAGACTATTTCTTGGTGGTTGTTGTTTGAGACAGGGTCTCCTACACAGCCCTGGCTGTCCTGGAACTCACATGCTGGCCTCAAACTCAAGAGATCTGCCTGCCTCTCCCTCCCAAGTCTGGGATTGCCCAACCTAGGAAAGACTACTTCATTTAACACAGTACACTGAAGAAGAGCAGCCCTGGTGATTAACAACCATGGAACCCTAGCTCTTCGAACTATAGGCTTTAGTTAGTACAAGAAAGATCCCTCATTCAGCTTTTGCAAAGGAAGAAAAGTGGCTGAGGCCTTAAGACTCACGTCTTCGTGTGTCACAGCCATGATTGTTACATGTTAAATGACATCATATTTCAGCTACAACAGTCCAACCTCTGAGATGATAAAATAAAGCACAGTTTTGGTGCACAGCTGTATCTTCCCACACTCTTCTATATTTAGGCCACACCAGCTCATGTGCAGGGAAGCCAGGGCCTCCAATGAAAGGAGACACTATAGGCACCGAGGCCAGGAAGCAAACCTCGAAGAAACGAGAATGAAAACTTTCTTCAGACTGATTTCATCAACCTGGGTCAGATCTAGGGAGTCTGATGCCAGGCAGGTCATGTCAGCACATTTAAAACAGTACAATTTGGGGAAAAGTTTCCAGGAACTAATCATTTCCAGGCAACAGTCATTCTAATTCCAGGTACACTCTAAAGCTTACGGTGTGACCACGTAGAAACTCCCCTACAAAGTCCTTGTGACAGCGAAATGGTCTCTGGCTGCAACAGCACAGAGGTCAGCAGGCCATAAAGGACATGTGACATCATCCCTAAAGATAGACTAACTGAAGGCCAGAGCAGAAGAGTCTGGCATAAACATTCTGGGGGGTTAGGGGAGTCTCTATAGCAAAAGGTGTGTGAGGTCTGCCACCACAGAGAGCAAAAAGGTCACCAGATCATTAACAAAGCCACTTCTAGACCGGTGTTTTATCTCCTCCGCTGAGCTGAGGAGAGGCTCCTGCATGTCTAACGTTCCTGGTTTCCCTAGTGATCTGTGGCGCAAGGACCTTTGTGGCCCTCACAGCCCCATGATGCAGTAGGAAGTTCCTAAACATGATCCCCGAACCAGGGCTGAGCCTAGACTTTCTGAGACTGCATTAAGGTCAAGTTACATAAATCTTACTAACAAAAACAAATAAACAACAAAAAAATAGTTTAAAAATTAGTATCACTTGTTCCAGATAACCTTCCTTTCTAATTTCTGGAGATATATAAACTCATTCTCATTACCTACAGAATAATCTATAGGAATTTGTTCTTCAAATTTCTCATTTGCTTTTTTGATGAACAGAAAGTACTAAATGAAAGTACACATGCTAAATAACAATTACTTTCATTTTCTAATTTAAATATAAATAATGAGCCAGGCGATGGTGGCGCACGCCTTTAATCCCAGCACTTGGGAGGCAGAGGCAGGTTGGATCTCTGTGAGTTCGAGACCAGCCTGGTCTACGGAGATAGTGCCAGGACAGGCTCCAAAGCCACAGAGAAACCCTGTCTCAAAAAACCAAAAAAAAAAAAAAAAAAAAAAAGAATAATGTATGAAACATTAATATGTTTATAACATGAAAACATGGCTCTCAGCTGGAAGGTGGTAGTGCGTGCTTTAGTCCCAGCACTCAGGAGGCAGAGGCAGACAGATCACTGTGAGTTCGCGGCCAGCCTAGTCTACACAGCCAGTAACAGGACAGCCAAGGCCACACAGAGAAACCCTGCCTCAAAAATATCTAACACAATAAACATAAGCAATTTATGTCAATAGGAAGATAAATGGAAATATTAACAATAAGTTGTATAAGATACCCAGAAATTTATTTGAAAGGATCTCTTAAAGTATTTGTTAAAAGAGATCTTAATATCTTAATAGTGAGAAATCAATACTAAACAGGATAGGAGCACCTCCTTGAAAGTGGAGCTGAACGAAGGGCAAACAGCCCAGTAACCCCTGGAAAGTTTGAAGGGCAACAGGACAAACCCCACTTACTACCTACAGGAAGAATCCAAGTCTTATAATCTACAACAATTAGCTTGGGTTTAGGATACAGTTTTACGATAGAAGGCTAGCCTAACATGTGGAAGGCCCTAGGCTCAATCCCAAATACTGCAAGAATTAACGGATTAATATAAATAAATTTCTTGGTCAGGCAGTCTCAAATAGCTAAGAAAGAAAATGTCGTTTTACCCAGAAGGTACGAAAACAGCTCTTGTGTGCAGCACCTATCACTAATTTGTTAAGTTCAGTTAAATCAGTCACACAAATCCCTAACTCTAAGTAGCATTCTTGCTTGGGGAGTCCCTAATGTCACAGGGTACTTACCATCTCTTTCAAGATCTCATACATCTGCTTCAGGAACTCCTGGAACCGGGACAGGTGAAGACAGGTGTCCTGCTGGGTTTCCTTGGAGGAGGCCTGCTCCCATACAGAGAACTTCTGCAGCCAAAACTGATAGTCTGGAGCAAGGTCTGCAGCATCTGGAGCCATCTCTAGGCGGAGAGCAGCGACACCCCTCACAGCAGCCTGCCAAGGAGCACAGGAAATGGTGAGGTCTTCCGAGAGGGAACAGACGGATCGCTTAGGACAGGCTCCTCTATCAGCACACTCACAACCCACCAAACGGCCTGCTCGGGATGCTGGAGTCCTCTCTGAATCATTTTAAATGTGTCAGCCAGCTGTAGCTCAGATTTTAATATCTGAACTTTTATCATGGGTAATGCCATTACTGAAAGTCATTACACTTCCACAGCAACACACTAATTGTGGACAAAAGGCACAGCTGAGGATACTTTACATCTCCTTAAGAATGAGCTATCTTTAACTGTCTTAAATGTGAAGTTCTTTTGTGTATTCTGGATGAGAAACCAGAAACATCCCTGGGTATCAACCAACAGTCTGTGCCTGAAAATGCTTCTGCTATCCTGATGCTTTTATGCTTGCTTGGCTTCTCATTTAGATGTAAAGAACACGATGCAGTACTAGCTAAGGAATTTTCTTCCCAGGTCCTCTTCACCTCTCAGGGAAAAGAAGGTAAAGTAATGCATTCCTCATGCGTCACTTTAAGCAATCTGCTTAATTAAATACTGCTCTAGGAAGGCTGGAGCTGCCCGGTGGGTAGTGTGAGCTGTGCAGGCTGAGGACAAGGCTCCTGGCCTGTGTCTGTATCTCCAGACAGATCCTTAGAACTCATTGGACACTTAATATACCCAGTGGGGGGCACCAGGTTCACTGAGAGACCCTAAATCAAAAAGTTAATGTGCAGAAGAATGGATAAAGAATATGTGGTATATTGTACAATGGAGTATTACACAGCAGGAAAAAATGACATCTTGAAATTTGCGGGCAAATAGATGGATCTAGAAAACATCATATTGAATGAGTTAACCCAGACCCAGAAAAACAAATATCATATATACTCACTCATAAGTGACTTTTAGACATAAAGTAAAGAAAAGCAGCCTACAGTTCACAAACCTAGAGAACCTAGACAACAAGAAGACCCCAAGAGAGACATACATGGATCTAATCTATATGGGAAGTAGAAAAAGACAAGATCTCTTGAGTAAATCGGGAATGTGGGAACCACGGGAGAGGGTAGAAGGGGAGGAGGAGGAAGAAGGGGAGCGGAGAAAATATACAGCTCAATAAAAACTTAAAGTAAAGAGAAAATGGTCATGAGGTTACATTCCTAAGAGACATCTGCTGTACTGTGTAGAGGAGAGGCCTGTGATCCAGTCTCACCATACTCTAAAACATGTACAAGAGCAAAAAGGAGAGTGAGGGAGAGACAAAATATCAGCAAGGGATGAATTTGGGCATATGGGATTTTATTTTGCCATTCTAGTAAAATTTCTAAAATTTAGAAAATCAAAATAAAATATCAAGAGGAAAAAAATTAATGTGCATATGTGCATGGCCACTCTCACTCTCCACAGGCACACAAAGGTGTGTGTGTACCCATACATATGTGCACATCCACATATATACCACATGCATGAAAATAAGTTAATATTTAAAGGTAAAAATAAATTTTTAAAAGCACTGCCTTACATGTAAAACCCATTCACAAGAAGCCATATTTTCATAAAACATAGCACATTATTTCCTAGTCAGTAGACTCATTAAAGGACAAAAAATAAATCTCCTAAGTCTGACTTCTTGCCCCTGAAGTAAATGTAAGAAAACAAAACAGGAGTCTACCGGCCTCCTCAAAGGAGAATCTAGGACAGTGGACAGCAGGGGCCCCTCTAGTCCAGTGCCAAGTGTTCCTGTGTTTCCCTGGGACAGGGCACATGCACTAGGCCAGGGACTGCACTCACAACAGTAAAAGGCTGTGGTCAAACCTCAGCACCAATGACTACTGTAAGATGCTGCTACTAGGTGCCATCCTTTAAAGGAAAACGGTCTTCCTCCTCCTCCTGAGCAGGACAGCAAAAGACACTGAATGTGACAAATCCCAGAGACCCCGATGGGGAGATGGCAGTTTCCATGTGGCATCTACAGTTTTGAGCAATCAACCAAAGAGGAAACCAACAGAAAGCTAACAGGAGACACATGCACACTAACCAAAGGACACTAAGAAGCCAAAGCGGGGAGTGGCCAAGCCCAGCCTTCAGATTATCCTAATGGCTGTTTCCAGTCTCTCAAGAAACAGGAGGCCAAGCTCTGCCCAACAGAGGAGAAAAAAAAAAGTCCAAGATCAGGCCACACAAATCCCACCAATCCCAGGTCATCCTGGGAAGCTCCACCCCACTCCCCAAGGAACCATACATAAAGGCTGCCTCCTGCTCAGTTCTTTGCTGTTTCACACCCCAGCAGAGGTTGCTGCCCTCTATGTCTTTCCAAAAGAATTTCATGTGAGGTTTGTTGTGCAGTGTGACTCTGTAGTATTTTTTGGTCCCTAACTGTCAGGACCCCTCAGAACTGCAGCTCTTGCATTTGGGAACCTTCCCTTCAGAGCTGCAGCTCTTGCATTGGGAACCTTCCCCTCACAGCTGCAGCTCTTGTGTCTCCTTTCACTGTTCTCACTGAAATCAGCTACAAAACCCTATCTGCGAAAACCAAACTCTGCAGGCACTGCACTCTCTGCAGGCACTGCACACTCAGGCCTCCCTTTCCTCTGCTCCCCAGTACAGCAGACACCACCAGGCCAGGTTGCACACAAGCTCTGGAATATAACTACCCCTCCAGGCTTCAGATCTTTTCCCCCCTGATGGCTTGACAGCTCTTCCACAGTGAAAGTGTTCTTAAGCATTTATTCATTCAGTTACAGACTCCATTAGTGGTAAATCAATTCTCTGCCTTCCCAGAATCAAACATGATTGATAAACACTCAACACATCATCAAATAAACAAGCAATAATTCTCTGGTAGTTTTCAAAATACAGTTTTAAGCTGCTTCTTCAAATAATTTAGTTTTCAAAATATAAGACAGGACCTCCAAAAAATGAAAATATCAAAGAATTTTTAGTTATCTTGGTGAAGTAAACATACACATGCACATGCTCACCATGCTCTGGGCCATGTATGAATTGCTTCATGCATGTGAACTAAGATTACATCATTACCCAAAGTTAGATAATGTAAAATCCCAGAGGAAGAGATTGCTAGGAAAGGATAGAGCCCAAACAGTGAGATCTCAACCCAGAAGCAGCTCCAAAGGCTGTACCATTGTGTATTAATCACAGTTCTCTGGAGGGACAGAACTCATAGCCAGAGAGAGACAGAGAGAGAGAGAGAGAAAGAGAGAGAGAAAGAGAGACAGACAGAGACAGACAGAGACAGAGACAGACAGAGAGACAGAGAGAGACAGACAGAGACAGAGAGAGAGAGAGAGAGAGAGAGAGAGACAGAGACAGAGAGACAGAGACAGAGAGAGAGACAGAGAAGGGGATTTATTAGAGTGGCTCACAGGCTGTGGTTCAGCTAGTCCAACAATGGTTGTCTACCAATGTAAGGTCTAAGAATCCAGCAGTTGTTCAGTCCATGAGGCTGGACGTCTCAGGTGGTCTTCAGTACACACCAGAATCCCAAAAGAGTGGGCTCTAGTGCCAGTGAAGGACAGGACTTGCCAGGCAGAGTGCAAGCTCCCTTCTTCCATGTCTTCTACATAGGCTGCCAGCAGAAGGCACAGTCCAGGTTAAACATGGTTCTTCCCACCTCAAAAAAGCATAGATCAAGGGCAGACCTTGCCATTTTAGATGATTTAATTAAGAAAAATCCCTCACAGGTGAATCTAGCAACCTGGGTTCTAGTTAATTCGAAATGTAGTTAAGTCGAAAACTAAGAACAGCCATCGCACCTCAGAAAAGCTAAAATTATCACTTTTGTGTGATAATTTTTTCATATGGCACTGGGAATAGTTTAGATATTTGAAAAGGTAAATCAGAGAAATTTTTACAGAAACAAGGAACAAAAACACTTTTATTTTCAAAAAATTAAAACGAACCTTTGTTTCAACATGAAAAGTTGAACAGGTCAGAGATGCCCCTCCAGAGAAATATTGACCTCACAGTACACAGTCAGCAGTACTGTCTGCTGTGCAATCCCCCACCTCTTCTCCATCCTATGGTGTATTAGGGCCTGCCATTAGTCAAGGACGGGACCATGATTCATGTTAGCCACATCAGACTCTGCTGGGAACCTCACCTTGAGTTAGGTGAATAGAAATGAAGAAAAAAAGAAGAAGAAAAAAAAAACGGAAAGCATTCTCTCTCTTTTCCTCTTTTTTTCCCCCTCTTTTCCTCAATTTTCTCCTTTCTTTTTGAGATAGACTTTCCCTCTGCAGCCCACGCTGGCCTCAGACTCAGGGCAAACCTCCTGTCTCAACCTCTCAAGTCCTGAGATTACAGGTGTGAGCCACTCTCTGGGGCCTTGAGTACCAACCAGCCTCAGTACCCCCACAGGGCTCAGAATTGGATGTCTATGGCAGGCAAGGATCTGAGGGTAAAACATTAACTCAAATATGTTACCTCTGCGTGTTCTTTGTCGTGCGAGGGGAGAAAGAGAAGTGAAAGGGGAAGATAAGGAGAAGAAAGAAGAAGGGGTGAGCTCCACGAGCTTTCTAGTTTTTACAGAAATAATTGGAAAATTCCACAGGCAAGGACATATGCATATCAAAACCAGAAAGAGGGCAGGTAGAACCCGACAAAACAGTACTCTGGAACAGATGGCACCACCCAGGGAAGTGCCAGCATTCTAGGGGAAGTGCCTGACGTCCCAAACCATTAGATAAACTTACTAAACATCCTCGAATCCTGGATTCACTGATTCTCTTTGTCTAATCTCTTTGGTAATAACCAGCTTTGAGGACACCCAGATTTGTTTGTTAGCAAAGGTGGCGCATGCTGCCTTCCTGCTCAGTGCCTGTCTTCTATAGAAATTTCTATGTGGTCTGTTGCAGGTAACTTTCTGGCTCTGTGCAAATTTGACTGCTAGAAAAAGAGTGAATGGCGTTGCTCCAAAAGCCTCTTGGTGTGGGGGAATGAACCAAGGTCACTCCAATGCCTGTGCAGAAGTCACAC